AGTGCCTGCAGCCCCCTCCGTCCTGGGGGCGTGGGGGGGAGCCAGCAGTAGTTCGCGGAGCTCCTCTCTGCTTTTAATCCCCTACGATGAGGATCCGTCTGGCGAGAAGATGGACGTGGGTCCGCAAAAGCTGCGTGTTTCTCGGCTTCTTGATGATCGCTTACTTTGTGGTCGAGCTGTCGGTTTCTTCCTTCGGTGCCTCCCTCGCCGGGGAGAGCATCACCAAAGGGAAATGGGAGAGGCGCTTTTCTGACAGAGCAGAAGCAGCTGTGGATTTGGCTCGTCCAGTTTATGACAAATCCCCGCCTGATCCTTATGCCCCAGGAGAATGGGGTAAGCCCTCTCGCCTGGAGCTGAGTCCTGAGGAGAAGAAACAGGAAGAAGAGCTGATTGAGAAGTATGCAATTAATATTTATTTGAGTGATAAAATCTCTCTCCACCGACACATTGAAGATAATCGACTGAGTGGCTGTAAAACTAAATCCTACGACTACAGGAGACTGCCCACGACATCTGTTATAATCGCTTTTTACAATGAAGCCTGGTCAACGTTGCTGCGGACGATACATAGTGTTCTTGAAACATCACCTTCAGTGCTTCTAAAAGAAATTATATTGGTGGATGACTTGAGCGATAAAGTGTATTTGAAGACTGAACTTGAAAAATACATAAGCAATCTGAAAAGAGTTCGTTTGATAAGAACCAACAAACGAGAAGGATTGGTTCGTGCACGCTTAATAGGCGCTACCTTTGCTACTGGTGATGTCCTCACATTTCTAGACTGTCACTGTGAGTGTGTCTCCGGCTGGCTGGAACCACTGCTCGAAAGGATTGCTGAGAACGAGACTGTTATTGTTTGTCCTGTCATTGACACCATTGACTGGAAAACATTTGAATACTACATGCAAACGGCAGAGCCCATGATTGGGGGGTTTGACTGGCGGCTGACATTCCAGTGGCACTCGGTGCCTAAACATGAACGTCTCAGGCGCAAATCTGAAACCGACCCAATCAGATCCCCAACTATGGCTGGTGGCTTGTTTGCTGTCAGCAAGAAGTATTTTGAGTACCTGGGTACCTACGATACAGGAATGGATGTTTGGGGAGGGGAGAACTTGGAATTATCATTTAGGGTTTGGCAGTGTGGAGGCATGTTGGAAATTCATCCGTGTTCCCATGTAGGCCATGTGTTTCCAAAGCGTGCACCCTATGCTAGACCGAATTTCCTTCAGAACACAGCACGTGCTGCTGAGGTGTGGATGGATGACTACAAAGAGCACTTTTACAACAGAAATCCTTCAGCAAGAAAAGAAAACTATGGAGATATTTCTGAAAGAAAGATACTAAGAGAGCGTTTGAAATGCAGGAGTTTTAACTGGTATTTAAAGAACATATTTGCCGAGTTGCATGTACCGGAAGATCGTCCTGGCTGGCATGGTGCTATCCGCAGCGCAGGAATAGCTTCAGAATGCCTCGACTACGTCTTACCAGAACATAATCCTACTGGGTCTCACCTTTCTCTCTTCGGATGTCATGGTCAGGGAGGCAATCAATTTTTTGAATATACGTCAAATAAGGAGATTAGATTTAACTCTGTAACTGAGCTATGTGCTGAAGTTCCTGAGCATGAAGACTTCATAGGTATGAGGAGCTGCCCAAAAGATGGATCTCCTATCCCAGAAATAATTATATGGCATTTCAAAGAAGATGGGACTATTTATCATCCTCATTCAGGAAAGTGCCTTACTGCTTATCGTACAACTGAGGGGCGTGCTGATGTGCAAATGAGAACTTGTAATGCTGCAGATAAGAATCAGATTTGGAAATTTGAGAAATAATCGCTGCTGGTAGTACGAATGGAATGGACTGTGATCTCCAAGGTTTTATATGTGTGAGCAGATAGTGACGTTTGTTTGTATACCTTGGAATGTATTCAGATGCGTCTGTAGTGGTGTAGAAACTATATCTGCCGTGGTGAACTGTATGGAAAGCAAAAGTGAATACCGGGGTTTAGTTTCGAAAATGTTGAATACAGATCTAATGCCTTTTATTTTTGTAAAATTTTGATCCGTTATTTTCTTACTTTGGTCTGTCTTGATTATGGTAAAACAAAGGCTTTAGAGTGGACTGAGGAGTGATATTTTTTTTTTAACGAAAAAAAACCCAACACATTAAACCTGCAAGTTAATGTTACATGAAAGTAAAGAATCTTTACTTACAGAAGTAAAAGTTAGGGTTCTTGCAGTGGCATTAACTGACCTATGTTGCAGATACATTATAACATGTATCTAACACCCTAAGTAATGCTACAGTAGCATGTGATTGAATCGACACTGATGTGGAAAGTTGAATCTCAAGCATTGTAGTATTCTGCAGTTTTCTGGGAATTTACATGCTCTTACGGGTTTCAGGGTGACAACTAGCTATATTGCATTGAAGAAAAGGAATTTTTTTTAGTAGATGGGCTTTGGCACTGTTTTGCAGTCTTCTGCCTGTTCTGGAAAACTTACCTCATGAGGGTGAGTCAGGAGCTCTCACGCGTTTAGAGAAGAGTGTGGTAGCAGTGGAACCAAGGACATGCTGGTGGTACCACAAATGGGAAGAAATAGGGATGGCTACAAGTAAGAATTCTGTTTAAAGGTAATGGAGAAGGAAAGAAAGCACAGAATTGCATTAGCTACTGCTGTTTCTTAGCTATATATTTAATATTTACATTGTCTCTGTGTAAGCTTTTCCATGGTAAGCCTGGCATCCTGGGGATGCATAGCTTATGTGACTATACCATGTATCCATTTTTTTTTTTGTCTGTCAGCAGGGTAGAGGAAGGAGACACAGAGGGAAACTTGGGCTGTTGTATTTTGAAACTTGGGCATCATGTATTTTGGCAACAGCTGGCATACATCAGCCCTAGGTCGAGTTTTGAAATAATGCAGCATATGCTGCGTCTTTCTAGTCACAATAGTACCATGGGAGACCTTGAGTAAGGTTGGGAAGCTGGAGTTCCTGAAGTGAAGGGAGTTGAAAAGGTAAAGGGCAGCTTGGAGGAAGCCAAGATTTGTTGGTTAGGTGGTTCACAGAACAACTTATTTAGAATGTTTTCTGTATCCTGTTATGCTGAGTTTTGAAGAATATTGATTCTTGAATCATGTCACTAATCTCTTTTGAGTGTGATTATAGACAGTAGATGTGATAGATATATTGTGAAAAAAATCTTGTGTTAGTATCTGTGTTTTTAGCTTTATATGATTTAAGTTGGACACTTATCTTAATGTTTCAGGCATTCCAGCTTTTTTAATTACTTTCACTGAAGTGATAAATGTTCTTCAGTAGCCACAGTGTAGTAATTCTTGACATGGGGCTGGTAGGTAGGAACTTGAGCTAGTGAGCAATAAGAATCTAGATACTTGTGGAATGTAGTAGGTGTGAATTTGCTGCAGGTGTTAGTAGGTAGAAGGCTTAAAAGGGAGCAAGTGAGACCTGAAATAAGTGAAGATTTGCCAAAAATAAAGCAAGAGTAAATTAAGACATATTTTTGAATCTTAGTGGGTTTAAAGAGTTGAGAGATTTGGGTAGAAGCAGGCTAAGATAGAAGGGGAACAGAAGAAAACTTGGAGCTGTGGATGTAGTGTTGAGTCATGCTAAAAATGCTTGCCACTGTGTGGCATGGTTTGGTTTAAGTCTTTAACTTATTTTTAGGAGGTTACTTGCAATTTGATTCCCCCCCCAGCTGATTTTTTTTTTTTTTTTAAAAAGGGAACTTTTTTTACTATATAAGGGAGACATTCCTGAAAAATTCCATTCCACTCTGCAGCAAGAAATTCTTTTGTGGACCTACAAGTTATAAACCATTTATCAAATTTTAAAAGGCAGCCAGTCATTATGTACTGGGGCAATAAATTATACAAAGTATGTGCTTTTATGAAAAGCTTGCTGTAAACTGTTACATTCAATAGAAATGACAGGAAAAAGGCCTGAGTTCTTCTACATGGCAGAGCATAAGTTGTAGGTGCAATGCATGTTTCCTCAGATGAAAGTAATTAAATGGTGTGAATATAGACTATGCAACTTTTATAGAATTAACTTTTTTTAGGACTTGGCAAAAACTACATTTCATATAAAGAACTACCTTCATGTTAAAACTGACATTCAAAGTGTTCCTTATCTATTTAAGCAATAAATCTAAATCAATCTGCCTCTTAAAATTTGAAAAGTTATTCTCTCTATGCATCTGAACCCTTCTTCCTTCTCCCCACCAACCCCCATCCTATTTTTGTGGTTATTTAAAAACTAAAAGGAGGGGAAAAAAAAAAGGAAAAGTAAATAACCTGGCCCTAAAATAAATAAATAAAAATTAAATTTGTTCCCAATGGGAATAAAAAAGGTTGGAGGGGTGGCTACGGAAGGAGAGAGAAAGAGAAGAAAAAAACCTTGCCATTTCAAGTTTCACTAGTTTTGAACTGAGTTGCAGCAATTCTACAAAAATAGTCCAGTTGTTTTTCAGTGTGTACAGATTTCTGGAAAATCTGAAACTCTGAAAGATTTTCTATTCTGTTAGACTCTGAAAGTTTGGGGAACACTTGTATATATTTTAAACTACTGATTTTAAGTGACTTAAAAGAAATTGAATGTAAACTCAACACTGAATAAATGTGGGAGGGCCTTGGGGTTTCTTTTGAAAAAATAAAATCCAGAATGATAACTAAACGTTGGCTGGTGTGCTGTCTCTTTTCAATTCTCTTCCACTTGTGTAAGTACATACAGTATACAGTAAAAACCATGATAAACTTCATGGAAGCTATTAAAAGTTCCTCATTACTTATCCACTGTGCTTAGAATCCTAGATCAGCTCCCTTGACAGAGGTTTAATCAATAACTGTTTTCCTCCAAGTAGGAAATCTTGCAAATCGCTGCTAAATATTTGTATTGTGACATTGCACCTTCTCACACTGAGATTTGCAGGGTTCCTGTAAAGTGTCTGGGTTTTTGGTGGTTGGTGGTGTTTGAATATTCGCGCATAATGTCACGTGCACAGCCCTGTACTCCATCTGACCTGTAATTCTTGCACTAGGCGAGTTAATTATATTGAGGATGCTTCAGTATTTGGGGAAAAAAGGGTGACCAAAGGCAGCATTGAACTGTTATAGCCTGGCTGAGTACATCTTTTCTGATCTTTTGCACAGCTTTCTTACAGCCACTACTGTGGTATTGTGGGAAATGGGAATGTAATGGTAACTCCATATTGCGGCAACTTGTGCCTTCATATATACACGTGTATATATGAAAATGTATACCATCAATATTCACAACTTATACATTGAATTTGGTTTCATTGCAAATACCATAAAAATTTTTTTGTGGCATATGTGAAGCCCAGCTATCTGTTTAGAGAACTGCAGCAAAGCAGTGTATAAACTTGGCCTTTGCATAAGGCCAAGTCTTTATTCTCTGGTGTTAAATTCTGCTATGACTTCAGTAAGGCCTTTGACACCATCTCCCACAGCATTCTCCTAGAGAAGCTGGCGGCTCACGGCTTAGACAGGTGTACTCTGCGCTGGGTCAAAAACTGGCTGCACGGCCGGGCCCAGAGAGTTGTGGTGAATGGAGTTAAATCCAGTTGGCAGCCGGTCACGAGCGGTGTTCCCCAGGGCTCAGTTTTGGGGCCAGTCTTGTTCAATATCTTTATCAATGATCTGGATGA